AGATTGATTTGAGGTCGGGATATCATCAGATGAGAGTGCAGGATGAGGATATCCAGAAGACGGCGTTCAGGACTCGTTATGGGCATTACGAGTTCGTGGTGATGCCTTTTGGGCTCACCAATGCACCGGCGGCGTTCATGGATCTCATGAACAGGGTGTGCAGGCCGATGTTAGATCGTTCAGTGATCGTGTTCATCGATGACATATTGGTGTATTCGAGATCAAGAGATCAGCATGAGGAACATTTGAGGGAGATCCTCGGAGTTTTTAGATCGGAGAGGCTTTACGCCAAATTCTCCAAATGTGATTTCTGGTTACGAGAGGTCCAGTTCTTGGGACATCTCGTCAACCAGAATGGGATATTGGTCGATCCGGCCAAGAGTGGGGATGTGATGAGTTGGGAGGTGCCGAGATCCCCCACCGAGATCAGGAGTTTTCTGGGGTTGGCCGGCTATTATCGGAGATTTATCAAGGATTTCTCCAAGATTGTCGTTCCTCTCACCAGGTTGACCCGGAAGGGCGTGGCTTTTAGTTGGGGTCCTGAGCAGCAGGCCTTGTTCGAGACACTTCTCCAGAGATTATGCGAAGCCCCGGTGTTAGCCCTTCCGGAGGGGATGGAGGATTTTGTGGTGTATTGTGACGCATCGATATCGGGGTTGGGTGCGGTGCTGATGCAGAGAGGGCACGTGATAGCATACACATCGAGGCGGTTGAAGCCTCATGAGACGAGGTATCCCACCCACGATCTGGAGTTGGGGGCAGTGGTGTTCGCCCTCAAGATCTGGCGTCACTATTTGTAAGGGGTTCGGTGTACCATATACACGGACCACAAGAGCTTGAAGTATCTGATGGATCAGCCCAACCTGAATATGCGCCAGAGGAGATGGTTGGATGTGGTAAAGGATTATGATTGTGAGATACTATACCACCCGGGCAAGGCTAACGTCGTAGCCGATGCCCTGAGCCATAGGGCGGAGAGTGCCCCGATACGGGACGTTTGTATGAGGTTGACGGTGATGACTCCGGTGTTGGACACCATTCGGGAGGCCCAGGCAGAGGCCGTGAGACCGGAGAACCGCAAGAGAGAGAGGGTGATCGGGCAGGTATCTGAGTTCGTTACCGATAGCCGAGGGCTTATGACCTTTCAGGGTCGGATTTGGGTGCCGTTTACGGGCGGGGCACGTACCATTCTGATGGAGGAGGCGCACAGGTCGAGGTTCTCGATCCATCCCGGGGCCACTAAGATGTATTTGGACCTGAAGAGAGACTATTGGTGGCCCTGTATGAAGAGGGATGTTGTGTGGTTCGTTGAGAGGTGCTTGACCTGTCGCAAGGTCAAGGCCGAGCACCAGCGTCCGCATGGCAAGTTGCAGCCACTTGACGTTCCCCAGTGGAAGTGGGAACATATTTCTATGGACTTTATCACCAAATTGCCAAGGACCGCGAGGGGTGTTGATGCAATTTGGGTGATCGTCGACCGACTGACGAAGAGCGCTCACTTCCTTGCTATCAGGGAGAGCTCTTCTGCAGAGAGGCTGGCAGAGTTGTATGTGAGAGAGGTGGTATCGCGGCATGGAGTACCGATCTCGATTGTGTCAGACCGAGATGTACGTTTCACTTCCAGATTCTGGAAGAAATTCCATGAGGAGTTGGGTACAAGGTTGCATTTCAGCACCGCATACCACCCACAGACGGACGGACAGAGTGAGTGGACGATTCAGATGCTTGAGGACATGCTTCGAGCATGTGTGTTGGACTTCGGAGGAAGTTGGGACACGTATTTGTCGTTGGCTGAGTTTTCCTATAACAACAGCCACCATTCGAACATTGGTATGCCTCCCTTCGAGTTGTTGTATGGGAGGAAGTGTCGGACTCCCATCTGCTGGGGAGAGGTAGGGCAGCGAGTGATGGGCAGCACTGAGATAGTGCTTCAGACGACAGAGCAGATACAGCAGGTCAGACAGAGGTTGTTAACAGCTCAGAGTCGCCAGAAGAGTTATGCGGATAAGCGACGGTCCGAGCTCGAGTTCCAGGTGGGAGACTTCGTACTCCTGAAGGTATCTCCTTGGAAGGGAGTGATCCGATTCCGGAAGAGGGGCAAGCTGGGACCCCGGTACATTGGTCCTTTCAGGGTGACCGCTAGGGTGGGCAGGGTAGCGTACCATTAGGAGCTACCTGCGGAGTTGAGCTAGATACATGATACCTTCCACGTGTCTCAGTTGAGGAAGTGTATTGCCGACGAGACGGCAGTGGTACCTCTAGACGACATTCAGGTGAATGCAAGCCTGAATTATGTTGAGAGGCCAATCGCGATTGTGGATCGAAAGATCAAGGTTCTGAGGAACAAGGAGGTGCCCCTGGTTCAGGTCCAGTGGCAACATCGGAGAGGGTCCGAGCTGACTTGGGAGCCGGAGTCACAGATGCGGGAGCAACATCCGAAGTTGTTTACGGCATGAGACTTCGAGGGCGAAGTCTGGTTCTAGTGGGGGAGAATTGTAACATCCCGAAATTCAGGTACATCTCTTAAACCCTTCTTCTTTTCCAAGTTGTCAAGTTTATCCCTTAAAAGAAAAGTTATGGCAAATGAGTACATTGGGCGTACTGAAGAGTACGCTGCGCGTACTCATGCGCTTAAGTTGGACGCGGACTCGCCTAGGTACGCTGGGCGTACCCAGGGTTACGCTGGTCGTAGCCGGCCCAGATGCAAAACCCTAATGTGACTTGAGGACTATAAAATGAATGATATGGTATTAGCCTCAACCACCATTTCACAAAGAAAAAAACCCTAAGAGAGCAATTCCATCGTTCAAAGCTTGTGTCTGTTTTTGAGCTAAAAAGTGTCTTGGTGTGGTAGTGGAGAAGAAGAGGAAGTTCTTGTGGAGGCTAGAAGTTGGAGTACAAGCTTGGATCTGAGTTCTACAGAGGGTGGAGCTTCACTTGGAGGTAAAAAGCTCAAAGCTTTCCTTATCATTTATGTTTTGTGTTTGATGGACCAACTTTTAGGGTTTTTGGTCCCAAAATGGAGACTTTTTAAGCAAATGGCCTCCATAAGCATAGATCTGCCTTATTTCAGTGTAATATGCATTGTAGATTCATAAATATCCAATCTTGGACGTCAAGATTAAGTCATGCATGAGATTAGGGCTTAATGGGGAAAGATGTTATATGTTTGAAGTGGTTGGTGACCTTTATAGCCATGCAAGGCATAAAGTTTTCGACTTTATGACTTAGGAGGCAGTAGAGAGCCTAGATCTGTGATTTGAGCCCATGACTTAACCTATTCAGACCAAAAATGAAGAAAGGATGAAACTGGGACTTACGCAGGACGTAATCCTAGTACGCGCCGCGTAGGGGGTCGAGTTTCCCGACTCTGGATAATCGCGGAGTACGCCCCGCGTACAGATCTGGTACGCGTCGCGTACCACCCTGCAGTTGACTTTCGTTGACTTTTAGCGTTGGTCAACATTTGGACTTTTGGGACCATTGAGAGGTAAATTGGTTTTTTTAGCCTTCTGAGAGGACATAGGAAGGGATTATTCTAGCCTTGAGAGCCGTTAATGATTTGAAACAATTACCTTATGTGATTAGGCGGGGCTAGGTCGTTGATTCGAGATTCAGGGATTTGAGCACGTGAGTTGCTAGACATCAGACTAGGTGAGTCTTCTCACTATACTTTACCTAGAGTGGTAATTATGTGTGACCGGAAGGTCTTATGTGCTATGAGTAGAATGTGATATATGCTGTTATATGATATGTATGTGCTATGTTATGTTACGAGTATAGTATGGACCAGAAGGTCAAGATGATGAGGACCGGAAGGTCATTACGGGTAGAGCCGGAAGGTCTACCAGAGTTGGGACGAAAGTCCTCTGAGACACATGGACCGGAAGGTCCCATAGATCTATGGCCTTGAGTGGCGTATTGTTGTATGTGGTATTTTGGGGAACTCACTAAACATTTATGCTTACAGTGTTATGTGTTATGTGTTTCAGGTACTAGCGAGGACCGTGGGAAGGCACCGGCACGATCCGTACACATTGGCAGAGGATTCTATCTTGTGATCTTGGGATATGTTTTATCATCGATGACAATTGTTGAATATGAGATTTGTGAATATTGAATGAGTTTTATGGTTTGAAAAATGAAAATTGTTTAAAAATTTTACGTCGTTACAATTTTCATTCTACTTTTAAAATTAATTCTTATTAGGACATTCTACTTTTAAACCAACCAATCTAGCAAATTTTTCAAAGAATATAATTTATAATTTTTTTTTATGGAAAGTACATTGCTATTTCTTGAATACAAGATGTTACAAATCAAGAAACTTAGATGGACTGCTGACCACCAGTTTCCTGCATCATCTGAGTATATATGTACTCATCAACTCTCTGTTTGTTTTCCTTATTGAGCCACCTAATGCTGCATCAATTAGTAAATAAATCCATTGTGTTAGAAATATCCTAAAAACCTACAAGTAATGTAAATATTATGAAGGATAATTTTCAGCTATGAACTATATTTATCCATACCTTCAAAAGTAATATTATCAATCTGGACATGATTATTCATGGTAACAGAAAATGGAGCCACATTTAATGTTGGACATAATGGATATTATCTGTAGCTTTATATGATGTTATTCTTATGCATAATATTTTGATTTTGATAAAAACATATAAATGTATAATAAGATGAAAACAGAGAGCATTGCATTATCAGTACAAACCTTGTGGTTCTTATCATCTTCTCACTAATGTGTCAGATACTTCCTTTATATCCTATCATTTTAAGAACCAAAACTAAGAGCATACAAAATAATTGCATAACAAAATCAATTGATACTTGTTGCTTGCTAATATAACCAACCAAAACTGAATAAAATTGTGACATAATCAAACTCATGTATCTCACCTTTGAAAACCTATAACTTAAGAGGTGCTAAACACAAAGCTTCCAAGATAATGAAGGGTATTTATGTCAATCTATGAGCAGCCTCCTTAGCAAGAAACCTCTCTTCTGCTGAACTCCATCTTATCTTCATTCTTGACTGTAGTCAAGCACAGAGCTGCTGCAGTTTTCTGATGAACAATCTGGCATAACATCCACAATAAACATGTTAACTCAAGCAAAACAATCAAAGGGTATTTAAGTAAAAAACACTTACAGTTCCCAAACAAGATTTTCCCTTCAAAATACAGTAACGGATTTCCATCTTTCTGCACAAAGTAGGAAGCCAGACAACCAATTCAATGGGGTCTACACCATGAGCAGTGATCACCAATTGAGCCTTGTTCTAAAAGGAGTGAAAATAAGTAACATAAGCTTTTTGTTTCAGAAAGATTATAATGATTGTATATTTAAATGGTGGAAATGAAAAACCTGCTCGATAAGATAGGTGATATGATTAAGACCATATTTGACAACTATCGGCTTCTTGGCTTCAACTGTATTTCCTTCAGATTCAGCTTGAGCCCTTTTCAGGAGTCGTTCCTTTTTGCTGCTTTACCATCTTTAAAATTGTTTAAGTCAAATTCGCCCCTGTAGAAAAGAAGGTATAAAGAACATTAATAGTGCTGGATTTCTTCTCAAGAAGGAGTGGGATCAGATGGGTATCGTTGACGGCGGCGTGTGGGTCGGCGACGGTGGCGGAGAGGAGAGATGAGTGATATGGTAATCCCTAAAAATCGGACCCAAAAATCTCTATATCGGGTTTACAAATACACAAACCTTGCTTTTTTCCTTTTCGTTAGAACCAAGTGAAGGTCAGATGACGGCGATGATAGTGGTAACTGATACACAAGGAAAACCTTGTCAACCACCATGAAACAATTAAGACAAAGTTACAGGGTTTTTTTTGCTTCAGCCTTCGTTGTTCACAAGCATGGAATGAGAATAGAGGAAGAGGCTTGTTTAGCTAGGGTATTTTGAAACGATTGTGCGTTGTGGTGGTATGTGTATGCAGACAGATCGACATGTGAGTAATAGAGTAGTAGTGGTGGCCATCATCTCCATTGTCGATCGCAAACATTAAGGGAGGGGGATAACGAAGCAGAAGGGTGAAGTGGTGCATCGGTGGCTATTGTTTTAGCTATTAGGGTTTTCCAGAGAGAAAGAGAGAGAGAATGAAGAGGTAGAGGAAGAGGGCTGCTTCAAAAGGATTATTAGGGTTTTTTGTTTGAGGATTTTAGAAGGAGAATAAGGAGATGAATCAGGCGAAGAAGGATTATTAGGTTTTTTTTAGAGGATTTTAGAAGGAGAAGAAGGAGAAGAAGGAGATGAATTAGGCGACTATTTAGTTTTTTGGGATTTCATTTCCCAACATAGATTATTAAAACAACGGAGAAACGCGCCTTTCTAAAAAATATAAAAACGACACATTTACACGACACGCTTTTTATGATAGGTGCCCTCCGCGTTTTTTTTGTTGGACACTAATTTTAGGGCGTGCAAAAATGTGTGTCCTCTATCCTTCAAATTTTGGAAAACTGACATTAATTTTTAGGGCACGCACAAATGCTCGTCCTCTATCAGTGCGTGTCATTAATTGTGCGTCGTAAAATACTGTTTTTCTAGTAGTGATATATTCAGGTTTTAAACGAGCCATGAGCCTATATCAATCATATGTTTTTTTTTATCAAAAACATAAACATGAAAAATAAAAACGTAGTGAAACGATATAAGGCGTGTTCGGCAAAATTAGCTGGTAGCAGGTAGCTTGTAGCTTGTAGCGTTTTGTTAAACGCTATATGAAGTAGCATTTGGATATGAAGCGTTTTGTTTAAACTAAATGCTAGAAGCTTGTAGTGCCAAACAATGCTTTCTGTTCAAAACGGAGCGATTTGTTAAACGCTAGAAGCTAGAAGCTCTCAAACGCTTCGTGCCGAACACACTCATATTAGTTTATTGATCATTATGGTATTTTTTTTATGTGTATGTGAATCTATCCATATATTAGGTAACAAATATTTCTATATAGTCATACATAAAAATAATACAAAGCTAATCACGAACAAATTAAAATAGTTATTGAATATTTTTGAATTTTAAAAATTATAGTTAGAAGATCATTTTTTATTATTGTGCTTCAGTTTTAGCGTTCATACAAATGTTCTTTTATGTAATTTTATATATTTCAAAAACGTATATCTATTTTTGTAAATAAAATAAAATAAATTATTAGTGATTTTTTTAAAAATAAAATACATAAATAATAATTAATTAAAATAAAAAGAAAAAATAAAAAAATTAACTAACAAGATGTTTGGATTAAATATTTAAAGAAAATAGTCATTTTGTACTTAAATATAGAAAATAAATAAAAAAGGACTACATTTGACAAGATAGTCAAACTTGAGGGCTGGAAATGAAAATACTGCAAAAGTGTAAAACTTAGAAGTTTCATTTAATTCTTTGTGAAATGGTGGTCAAAATAGAAGAATGTAGATTTAATGGACTTAAGTGTTAAATGAGCTTAATATATAAGACTAACTTTCTTTCCTCCACCTCATTCCTTCATCATATCATGACTTAGAGAGAGTGAGAGGATAAATGACACTTTTCTTTCCATCAATGGGAGAATGAAGTTCTAGTGTGATGCCATGGAAGAGCTAGACATTATATATCTCTTAGTGTTAGTAAGGTGAAGCTTGAGAAGTCTTTGAGTATAATAAGTAAGGTGGACGAGTTAAGATAACAACTCAAGTGAGTTTAGCGATAATATATGCCCCCATATTTTCACATTTTATTTTTAACGTCCCAAAAAGTCTAAGTAAAAATTTTGTTTTTAAGTCAACCATTCATTCATTCCAAAAGACCGTCAAAGTATATAAATCTATCAAATAGTTATCATAATACAAATCAAGTCATAAAATGCGGAACACCGGTGGATACGATGCAATCACATCGAGCTCTTTCCTTTGGAACCGGAAGTACGTGAAACATGAACATAAACTGTAAATACAAAGCTTAGTGAAGTCCCCAAAATACCGCATACCATACATACATCGGGCCCCACCCGGCTAATAGGCCCCGCCCAAAATACATAATGGGCCCCATACAACATACATAACATGCAAGTGTAAAAAAGACACTAACAATCCAATAACACCTAGTGTCCTACAGTATAGTGAAGAGACTTACCTCGATCGGTAGTCAGATAACCCTATTAGCAATTAAGGTGATAATCCATAATCAAGGGTCCATTACAAACTTTCTTACTCTAGGGTAAAAGACCATTTTACCCTTTCGAGGCTAGACCCTTCCAAATGTGACCTAATGGCCCAAAATGACAAATTACGCCTTCTGGTGCTACGCTCTACGTACACCATGCCTCTACGCCCCGCGTAGAGGGCTTAACAAAAATCGCAAAGAATCAAGGCTACTTTGGGTGTAGCCTATTTTATGCACGATGTAACACACTGATAAGTCATTTTCAATTTTAGCTCTTAATCCGTAAAGACCACCAATATAAAATTCAGATCTGGTCCTAATGAACGTCTAGAGTGATAAAGTTCCTGACTTTATGCCTTTGCATGGATTAATGGAGCACAAGACCAAACCCTAGTTCCATATCATCCTTTAGTGACCTCAGACCCTTGCATTGGTGAAAGATCGCAACCAAGTTCCCATTTTTATGACATGAGAAACTCAGAAGCAACAAGAAATGACAACCTTAAGCTCTGGAGTAGCTCTTACTCACGAGAACCAAAATCATGGGACAAGAAGCATGCAAACCAACAACCTAACCTAGATCTAACCCAATGAATCATAAAGGTGAGAACTTTATACCTCCTGAAGTTGGCAAATAAGGTGAAAGCTCTGGATCTTCAAGCTTGAGCCACACCAATCCACAATGATAGACTTCTCCTTCTTCATGTGCACCAAAAACACACAAGAAGGCACAATATTTTCTCTAAGGGATTCGGGTTTCGAGTTAGATGATCAATAAGGTGGCGGTTGATGAGAAGAAGAGCCTCAAAGGGGTTAATTTCCTTAAATAGGACTCAAAACCTCGAAATTAGGGTTTTGGTGAGCAGCAGATACGCCCTGCATAGCCAGATTGACGCAATACGCAGATCATTAAAGGTGCATTCCTCCATCAACCGCTACGCCATGCGTAGCAACAATATGCCATTTAACCGACACCTGAAGAACGTTGTAAAGGTCACAAGGTCATATCAAGCATGGTTATACGACTCACAATAAGTATAAACTAACCTTTGTTTACGAGATTTCATTCTTCATTAGTTTTATTTTAATTAATAAGACTATTATACATTTCATTGGGGATTTCAGAAATACAATACACGGTTTTTTAAATAATAAAATTAATATACACACTGGTGGTAGCCAGAGGTTTCAAACAGAATTTACTATATGTATTAGTGATAGCCAGCGTTTTCAAACAAAATATTCTATACAGAGGTTTTCATGCAGAATTCATCATACAATACTGTTGGGTTTTCAGCATTCTAACACTCCTATGGTGTACATGCAACCCTATAAACCTTGGATCTATGTTTTCTCTATTATACATGCAAATATTAACTATTCCAAGGTTTCATCCTAACTAGCATATTATGAAGCACCTATACTACAAAGTTCTAGTTAGATGACATACCTTTTGATGTAGCTTGATGTCTTCAAGCTTTAAGATCTTAGCCCCAATAGTGTGGAAGCCTCAAATGGAATCACAAATCACCAAAACACCTTGGAAGAACTTGAGAGAATATGTATGCACACTAAAATCGGCCCACTCTTATTTTCACACACTTGTGCCAATTTTGTGAGCCAAGGACCCCTTTATATATTATGGAGGATTAGGGTTACATCCATGTAAACGCTAATACCCATGACCTTTCATTTACATAGGATCCATGGGTTAAAAGCTCCATGGACCATCCATGAAAGCTTAGCCCAACCTAAATGAACTTGGCCCATTCCATATATATAAGAGTCCATATTTAATTAGTTCTTTTTGATCACTTAATTAATTCTAAATTAATTCTTGATTAATACTAATTAAATAATATGATTCCATATTAATATATTAGAACTTATAATATATTAATATAAATCATAAATATACTATTCTCAAAAGACTATCCATATAAATTGTGCCGGTGAAGTGCAACCCAAATGGACCATGTCGGGTCGGGTCAAGTACATACCAAATATAGTTATGGACTTAGACATTAATCCAAGAAATACATCTAGTAGTAACCAAGCATACAAACTAATATGTTTTATATACTACAACTGGATACAATAACAAACATTCATAGTTAGTTCTATAACTCTCTAGTTTATGCATCAGGGTTACGTATGAAGAATACTCGATAGACTGTGGGATATGTGGTTTCCGCCTCATTTCCTGTTCCTTGTTTGGTTGTGGACTTAGGGCAGATCCACATAGTCAACTGTCTGTTCAATAGTGGTTCATACGTGGCTAGCATGAACTAAGTAGTTATAGATGGAACTAATATTACCTCACTCTTACTAAAGAAAATATTGGATTTTCTTGGAAACATACGAATATTTTTACAGAATCATCAACAGGTTTCTAATACAAAAACATCGCTTATGAACTCACCAGCTTTATGTTGATACTCTTTCAAAACTGCTTGTATTCTCAGGAAATCAGTAGACAGGTACCTCCTGGAGTTTTGAGAAGACGGAGCGTATAGAGTCACATCTTTCTATTTTGATTATACTTTTGATGTATAAAAACAAGAATCAAACAGATGTAAACTCTTTTCATATATGTATTCAATGTAATGGTTGTGTTTACTATGATTGCTATGATACAATTGTTGTGATACTA